GAAGCAAAAATAAAACATCTTTACGGTTTTCCCTGATGTCCAGTTTTGTGATTTTTTTTTCCCTAATGGAAATGATAGTAAAGATGAATTGACTAATTTTTTTTATGGTTTTTGGAAATAAAATTAATGATCCTTACATTATGTAATGTATGCCTTTTTCTTTTTTGCATAGAGATGCATATAGTTCTTGATCAAAAGAATACATCAATACTGTATTCAAGTACCTAATTATATTTAGTTCATTATTATTAGTTGTTTGGGATGACAAAATACCTTCTAATATGGCCCCAGATTTCAAGAAAATTATAAAAATAGGCCAGAAGAGATACAATCCTATAAGAATATATCACAAGGCGAGGCACCAAATGCTAAGCGCTCAGCCCTGACAGTTATTCTCAAAGGAAATAGTGGGAGGAAGATCTCTGAAGTTTGAATATGTCTATGGAGATTTCATAGAATATCTAAGATTAATACTCATCCTTGATGAGCAGAGAACTTAATTAAAAGGCAAGAGAGGAAGGGAGTTTGGAAGGATGAGCAGCATAAGCAACATTCCGGAATTCTCTTTAATGCTCTCATGAATGCATTCTCAGAATTTTCTGAGATGGAAATATTTTGGATCTAAGTGACTTGAATTATATGTAGAACCATTTAAAACTCTCTTCTCAGATAATTCTAATTGTATATTAGAATTTTACTGCACATGCATAACTATGGGATGTACAAGGATCTGTTTCTCAGCTTATATAAATTTGGTAAAAGGCGAAAGATTTATGCAGTCTGAAGAGAAACGAGGGTATAGCTTATATAAATTTGAGAAGGCAACAAGTTGTGGCCAATGAAGCCTTAACGCTGTGATGTCTACATTTCTAGGTGGTAAGGACACTTTTGAATAAGTTACTTAAATAATATACATTTGTACCAATGAATTAACCTAAAATTTATTGTAATAATAATTTTATCACATAACAGGTAACTGTAGTTTGAAATACAGCACTCTATAAGGTAAAAAGAGAGTAAGTAGACTTTATGTTAAGATAAAGAAAATAAGAATAAGAGTTTTCTTTCCTGAGTTGAATGAATGGTGTTAACTGATGCCATTTTGCAGTTACATAGGCTAACTCCTACTTTATCTCCTTCTCTAGCAACAAGAACTACTTCCAAGCTGGAAATAACAAACACAGATAGGAAAGACTGAAGCTTAAGATAAGTGAGATGACAATCAGATAACAGAGGTACTTACATCAATTCAGGTCGATAGAGCCATATGAATTACATATTAAAACAATGGGAGAACTGGCAATGGAGAATGGGTGATACCTTTGAGGACCTTTTTATGAAAACAATGTGCTATAACACTGGACATTGAAATCAGGTGTGCCTGAGCTTATCTTTGAAATAGTTGTGCAAGTTACCCACTTTGTGGCCATCACCTGGCAAGGTACAAAGTATGAGTTAGGGAATGGATTTTATCAGATAACAATTTTTTTTTTCTCTCTTTGAAAATCTTTTTTGTTTCTTTTATTGTTTGGACTCATTGAGGGTACAAAGAATTAGGTTACACTGATTGCATTTGTTAAGTAAAGTTCCTTTTATAATTGTGTCCAGCCTTCAAAAAGTGTGCCAGACACGATGAACCCTATCCCCCTCCCGCCTTCCCTCTCCCCACTCCCTCATTCCCATACCACCCACTTTGTATTAGATCCTCTACTGTCTTCATATTAGAATTCAGTACATAGAATTCATGCTTCTCCATTCTTGTGATGCTTTACTGAGAAGAATGTGTTCCACCTCCATCCAGGTTAATACAAAAGATATAAAGTCTCCATCTTTTTTAGTGGCCGAATGGTATTCCGTGGTATATATATACCATAGCTTGTTAATCCATTTCTGGGTTGGTGGGCATTTAGGCATTTACAATTTTGGCAATTGTAAATTGAGTTGCAATAAACAATCTAGTGCAAATGTCCGTATGATAAAAACATTTTTTTTTTCTTCTGGGTAGATGCTTAATAATGGGATTGCAGGTCAAATGAGAGGTCTAATTTGAGTTGAAGATTCTCAGGTAACAAGTTTAAAACAAAAGATTAGGAAATAAAGTGGGTTTGAGTCTTGTGATCCTTCTAATATCCCCTGGGTAGGTGACCAGGGCCAGGACAGTCTGTTGGACACAAGGTGGGTGAACATTTGAGTTTTGGGAATTACTCTTCCTATTGCTCTCCTTTATGACAGACCAAACCTGAAAAAAAAAATCAGCTTCATCAATGGGGTGAGCAGAATACGCTCACAAGTAGGTTGTCTGGGTACTGGCCTTTTGTAGGGTTTAGATGTTAGATGTTCATAAGAGTTGTTTGGGAATGTCAACTAGTGACTTTGGAAACCTGTGTTAACACCTGATGACTCTGGGTACTTGTGTAAAACTGAATTCCTCTTTTTAAGGGAAAGGCTAGTAATCTAGTGAGAAGTAGAGTTTGAAAGCATCCCTACCACCAGGAGGAGGGAGGAGTCCCCAGTTCTCACTGTCTCAGTGTCCAGAGAGCCCAAGATGAGCTCTCAGGGGTGTATTATGACAGTCATACTTGTTGTACCACAGAACTTCAATAAATTCTAAAATAGATTTTTTAAAAAAATAGAAGATTAGTGATTGCTCTAGGGATGTGGAATTTTCTGATCTTCAGGAATCAAGTTGAAGTCATGGTAGATTTATCTACAAAGCAGGGCGTGTGCATGAGTAAAACACACTTAATGGCGTGTGAGGCTATCACATTGTGCCTACCCTGAATTTGGCTACTTTTGAAGCTTGAGGTTTTCTGTGTCAGTGTTACTGACGTTCAAAACTTGTCCATACATTTTTGGATTTTTTTAACCCTTTCTTCCCGGGGGCCTTCAAATTACTACTATTGGAAACCCATTCCTTTAGTTATCTATATTCAAGTCACACAGATTAAAACATGCTCTCTTGACTGGGTGTGAGGGATGCGTCAAGGAAGGACTTACTTCATTCTGCGTTTACTCATCAGCCTAAGCATTCGCCATGCACAACAGTGTGCACGGCTGGTACCAGTGTGGCTGCCACCACGAGTGGCCTCTCCTAGGGCCCAGGCAAAGTGGCGAAGGCTGGCTCCTCTCCTCCCTTTACCACACCTTTCAGCCTTGTGGCTCTTTGCTCCACTGCCATCGTCAGGCACTTTCCGTGATTTGTCATCCTCTGCTGCTTCATAATTCTTGTTTCATCACCTCATGCCATCTGTTGCCTTTTCTAGCATCCAAAATACTCATTTATTCCTTTTCTTATGCCTCATCAAGAGAGGCAAACCCTGTTTATTATTTTAAACTGAAATAGACTTCACCTCTTTTTCTTATAAGTACAAAGATAGATAGTTGTTTGTCTAATTTCAAAATGGTAGATAAATTCCTTTAAGAAATAATCTCCATTCCTTCCATATAATGACAATCGAAAAATCTTCTTGACAATACAGTATTTGGGCCTGACTGATCTTTGCTGTGTACCAGGCACTGTTCTAGATAATTTATTCTTGCTAATTCATTTAAGCAGCCAGAAGCAATCATGGTAGTAGCTACTCTTATTACCTCATTTTAAAGAAGAAGAAACTGAGAAAGAGAGCCTACTAAGTTGTCCATGATTATCCAGTTAATTAGCAGCTGGGCCAAGATACAAACCTACCCAATTTGGCCTTGAAGGGAAGGTTCTTAACCTCTGTAGTACAGTGACTATAAATCAGTAGTTCTCAAAGTGTGAGCCCAGATCACCAGCCTTAGTATCATTTGGGAACTTGATAGAAATGCTAATTCTCAGGCCTTACCAAAAACCTACTGAGTCAGAATCTCTGGAGGGGGGGCCCAGCAATCTGTGTTTTCACAAGTCCTCCAGGTGATTCTGATGTCCATTTGAATACAAAAATAGTAAAGAATTTTGCTAGCATAGGTTTTAAATTATCTTTTTTTCTGGAAGAAAATCAAGGCACATATTCACACACATGTCTGGTGTTTTTCTCATACCGGTAATTTTTAATCCACTTTAATTGCCATTTATTTACAACTGAAATAACTACATGTCTTTTTTGTTTACGAGTCACAGAGTATTTTAGAGATACAAACAGATATCCTAAGAGATGTAAGAGACTGCAAAACATGTTCTTCTTTTTCAAAGCAAGACTATTCAAGATCCTTAAAGAGCAGAATCAATTCAAATCTAGCAATAGATTTCAAAGTTTTTAGTTTAGATGTCAAGCCATTTGTTGCTGCCGTACCCCAGACAAAATTTGTGGTTCGAAAGAAATTGAGATACTCATTGTTGAATGTTCGTCTTCTGGGACTTTGCTCAGCAACTTCCCCCACATTCTCTCTGGAATGAGTTTAATACCTCATGGGGGTTGAAAAACATTTCTTCCTTTTGTAACATATGCAGATCTCAGATTGTGAGTACCTGTGCACATGCTATGTCACCTCAAAATGCATCTTATCACCAACTGAAATCAAAAGCAAAATAAGATCTTACCCAGTATTGCTGAATTTATTGCTGTGACATACAATTTTGACATAAAATTTGCATTTTAGTAATCAATGTCTTTGAAAAATAGCTATGACCCCAAATAACAATTACATTGTTTCAAGTCTTCAACCAAATATAGATGCCTTTCCTTGTTTAAATAAAAAAAAAAATCCCCACTGCCCTGGGAAGTGATAAAAGAACTATGTTGGTCCACCACATGAGGTCTTAGCATTTTTATCTTATTTCTAAAATACATCTGGTATTACAGTATTAGATAATTAAGTATATTACCATCACAATATTTTTAAGTTCTAGCAAAAGAGATATCCTATCCATCCAACATCAGAATCATTGCCTCGCATGTTAGGAGGGTGAGGCATGGGCAGGAAATTAAGAGAGAGAGAACGGGATCCTCAGCACACAAAATACAAGTAAGTCCACTGAATCCACATCAAGGTAAAAATAGTTTGCCTTGTCCTCCTTTTCATCATTTCTTTTTGCAGCAGAGAATTCTCCTGAATGGTTGTTGGAACTTAGAATTACTCAAGATTATTACAACCGAGTGGCCAGAGGGATACGCTGCCATTATGTCCTTCACCGCAAAGAACTGCAGGCTTTCATAAGGAATAGTAAATGTCATGTTCATCATGAAGGCAGCAAAATAAGAAATAAAGAAGCAAAAGAATGTTACCACCATTCTTAATGCATTTATATGGGCTTCAGTGATGGCATTTCTTAAAGCACGTGCTGCATTTTGCATCCGATGAGTGTGCTTGTAAAGAGAGATGACTAACATGAACGAACATATCACAAATATTGCTAGAGGAAATAGTAAAGCCAAGTTGACAAGAAGCACTTCACTGATTTTCCTTATCTTGGTTTTAGTTTCCTGCAGGGTGGTGTTTCGGAGGGCATCGTCATCTCTATTAAGAGGGTAGTCCACCTCGATGCACAGAGCCGCGATGCACACGGAGGCCAGAAGGCTTCCCAGAAGCAGCCACAGTATTATCTTTGGGATCCTGAATTTCAGCCAAAGAAAATAGGACTGAGTGAAGCCTGAAATCTTGAGGCAGTAGAACACAGAAAGGCAGGTGGCAAACCAAACACTGATAGAGCTAAAAAACATCCAGAGGAACATCATTGTTGCACCATGAATTTTGAGCACGTACAATAGTGGAAAGAACACAGTGAAAAAACTTTGTACCATTAACACCATTTGCAGACCAATTCTAGAAATCCCTATACACATTAAGAGGATTTGCATCGGCATTAGCTTTCTGCTTTTGAGCAATTCATTACCGTTTCTGATGACAAGAAATCCATTTACTGTAATCCCTGTGAAGAATTCGGCTGACATGATGATAACATGAAGTAAAGCTGAGAAAGAGGAGGCGACCATGTTTCCTCAGACAGACCCTCACTTTCCCTGTGGGTGGCCTTAAATACCTTCTCCAGAAGATCTTGCAAGTAGGAACCACAGCACTGAGAAATCTGATCTTCTGCCAACTCCTGGATCATAGATGATGCCTTACACTAGCTTTTCCTCCAAGGAAAAAAATCAGAGAGACTACTTTTATAATCTGGTGCTCTTCAAATGAAACTGTGGGAATGCAAATCCAAAGATTTGAATGATGGTTGGGTCTTCCAATTACATCCTAGGAAAAATTGTTTTTTTAATACTAATCCAATCTCATTCTTACTCATTTTTTTAAAGAAATATGCTTATAAATACATTTCATTTAGGTTACTGCTATTTTGTTTTAGTCATTTTTCCCCCTAATGCCAAAGCCACACCCTTCGGATAGATGCTTCCCATGGTTTCCACAAATATCTAATCTTAGATGTAGCTCTCTCCCCACACTTTTTGCCTTTTAATAATTCCAAGACATCTTAATCAAGTTTCCTCTCCTCATATGCTTACCCTACCAAAAGCAATTTCTTCTCCAGACTTGAAATTCAGTTCCTGGGATCTAACTTTTACGTAAGAATGCTCCTTTCTGCTGACTATATCATGCTCTGATTACCTTCTTGGTAAGATGTTGACTTTAGGATTAGCAAACTGAGTTACAGAAGTAGTTCTTAATCCATGTGCTGATACCATCGTACACTCTTATAGCAGAACATCATTTCAAAAGGTAGATGGTACTGAAACTTTTAACTAGCAGTGAAGGGCATAATTACAGTGTTTAAATGAACCTTCTTCCTTTATGGTAAAGAGGTGTTCACACAACCTTGCTGAACTTTAGTTATACCTGATGGAAAATGTAAATAACCATTACAACTTCATAAAATAAGATATGGTGCTCACAGCATTCAGGTCCCTGGGTCATCCTGAGCACTCAACAAATATTAACTACTATTAATACTATTAAGTGTCTGTCTTCAAACTGTGATTATCACAGTAGGAAAATAATCGTTACATAAAGAAATATTTCAATAAGAAAGCTAAAATAGGATTGTAAGTATATTAACAGTAAAATATCAAAGAACTGGATTTACCACCCACTTTCCACCCTCATGACAGTTTTCAGAGCACCCCACGGTCCTGCATGGACTGTACAGCTACTAGCTGATGAAAACAAATGTCAAGGCTCCCTATGTAACTTGCCAGCTTCATCATCTCCCCACTCGTCTTTTGCTCACCACAACTATCTAAAATGCAGCAATATTGATCCCATCTATATCTTTTCTAAAATCTTGGTTTTATAACCCATGTATCAGTTTTGCCTTTGGTTCTTGGACTTAGCCTTTCTTGTGTATAAACCCTGACTTTTCCCAGGCAAATGATATTTGACTGGCCCCTGGTCTCTGGAAGGCATTCTCAATTCTAGACACAAATGAAGAAATTTCATCTCAATTTCAAACTCTAGACCAGTGTCATGAACTATAGCAAAGGAGGGAGAGATAGGATTTAGACAGTTTACAGCTAAGTGTCCTAAGTTACCTCTCTGAGACTGTTATATATATTAAATATTTGCATTTAAGAGGACCCAATAACTAGTTTCCAAATACTATAAGCTTATACAGAATTCTGGTTCTTTAGTTAAAATAGTAATTCAATCAATCTCAATATTTCATTTTTCAAAAATTCTGTTTTCATTAACATTTTATTGTGTTTTTTTTTTTAAATTTTATTTATTTATTTATTTCAAGACAGAGCCTCAAGCTGTCACCCTGGGTACAGTGCTGTGACATCACAGCTCACAGCAACCTCCAACTCCTGAGCTCAAGCGATTCTCCTGCCTCTGCCTCCCAAGTAGCTGGGACCACAGGTGCCCACCACAATGCCTGGCTATTTTTTGGTTGCAGCCATTATTGCTGTTTGGCTGGCCCGGGCTGGATTCGAACCTGCCAGCTCAGGTATATGTGGCTGGCGCCTTAGCTGCTTGAGCCACAGGCGCCTAGCCTTCATTAACATTTTGTTATGAATGTGTTTCACCTAATAAACTTGCTGAGTTGAAAGTACTTGAGCAAATAAGGGACAGCAATTTGTCGTATACATAATTGGACAGATGAAATGTACATGCCAGATTTTAAGTTATGCAACATTACATTAGAAAATCTTGGCATGTATACTAACTATTGGGGTAATTTTTTTTTTTATCATGATAGATGCCCATTGTTTTTTTGCCTATACTATTATAAGCCATTCTAAAAAAAGAAATAGTACAATAATATACTCCAACTATTCCCAATTACAGTACAGCCATGGAGATCATTTTATATGTCAAATATATTCATCATAATCATCAGTATTTGGGTAGATAGCAATCAATATAATTTCTTCCTCATTCTCCATTATTCCTTTTCTGTGACATTTTCTCTCATTTTCCATGGTAAAGTAGGGCAATTAAAGGGAAACTAACTATGGAAACTCTTGCTAGAAGAAACATTAATACATTGATTGTAATCAAGAATTTTTCTGAAAATTATATTTTTTAAAAAAATTTTGTTAAAATTGCATTTTTCACCTTGGCTACTTCAGAATATGTGTATGTGATGAATATGATTTTCCAATAATTCCTTTTTAATTTTATTTCTCAGACAATATATATAATTTGTAACCTAGAATTTATCCTCTTTGAGTGCCTAAGTGCTGAAAAAATTTGCTGAACTCGTTTCAGATCACCCTGCTCTTGTCATATTCACACAGGTGTAGCTGGCTTCATGGGCTCTGAGCTAAATGATTCTGCTATGAGATTTGAATTTATCCAGAGCTTATTTCATTCTGAAATCCTGGATTCCGGCTCTCATTTGCCTTTCTAAATACATCATTTAATTGAAGAAAAAGTTTGACTTTTCCAAGAACTATTTCCAAAGTATAATGGGCATTAAACTACAATTTAGTTTGTTATTTGCATTTGTGATTTTCCTGTCATATGTGAACTGTTTTGCATTTGCCCTTATTGAATCTCATTTTGGAAAGAGAGTTTTAGCAAAGAGCTCTTTCTCAGATGCAGGAAAAGTTAGTTGTGAGTGAAACAGTGTTGAAGTTACTAATTCATAGGCTTGTTTGAGGTTTGGGAAAGGTAGTGGCCAAAAGGAGAGGGATGATTTTCAAATTGAGCAATGTTTGAAAGTTTTACTAAAATAGTATATTTTTTAAAGGGAAATAATATCTGTCAGGAATCACTATCTATTTATAGTTTATTAAACTAATTGCAGTTTAGTCATCTTCCAATCAATAAATGTTCTTCATTTAAATGCTCACATGAACTGGCATACCCCCAGTGGAGAGTTTGTGTGTATGTTCACTTTGGACAATGTTATAATACAGTCTTCTGATTCTAAGATGATGTTCAGAAATTAGTTGGAAAATTAGAATACACTCTAAATATTGATATTATGACTAGGCATTTCCCATGCACACAGAGCTGCTTATTTGCTTGTTATTGGTTTTACCGACATAACTGCATAAATATTTGAATTTTTAAAACAAGTACATTGAATTTCTACTGCATGCCATTGTTTAGTCTAGGTATTCCAGGACTAAAGAAGATGGATTGTGTTTTTATACTTTTAGCTGAAAATAATTTTGTTTGCAATTTTTGTACTACCCTGGCTTTGCTGTGGAAGTTTTGCAGAGAGAATTGGCTCTCTAAAGACTGAATTCTTTATTGGTCCAAATTAATGCGCTGGGTGAGTTTAATTTCTTTTAACTAACTAACTAATTTCAGCTCTGTAAGGAAGTAATTCAAAATTTCACTTCCATTTTGTCTTGTTATTCTGTGACCATAGAAAATGAATATGGTTTTAAAAGAAACCCTGTTCACATATTGGAAACGTTCAGTTCAACTGTGTCTTTGCTGAGTCCAGACTCAGTCACAGGAGAAACAGTATTTTGAAGTCCACTCCAATATCTTTAGGTCTTTTTAAGTTCAGTGTAGTTTTTCTTTTATTTTGAGTTTACTTCAGTATTCTAATAGGTTATTTCTATAAATTTTGACCTTGGAGACAATTTTTTTTTTTTTTAATTTAGTCTCTGAGTTCCCTCTTCAACGACATAGAATAATACAAAATACCAGGTAGTGAAAAAGAATCCAAATAGATTGATTGTCATACTGATAATCCAAGCTGTCAAATTTCTTTTATACACATGAAATACATTCAAGTTTTTATTCTCTGAAAAAAATATGCATACACTTTGTCATAAAAATTAAGAATATTTGATATTTGCATTTGACAATAATTTTGTCAGTTCATTTGCAAGCAAAAATTTCATTTTTTGTTCTGAAAATGTTTTTGTATTTATCTTTTTTAATTTCAAAATATTAAGGAGGTACAAATGTTTTTGTTACATGGATACAATATATAATGCTGAGGCTGGGGGTTTCCGTGTGCCCATTACCTGGATAGTGTTTACTATCCCCAATAGGTAAGTTTCTATCCTTCACCCTCCTCTCTGGCTCCCCTCTTCTTAATTTCCAAAGTCCTTTACATTTCTTTGTGCCTGCAAGTGCTCTCACTTATTAGTGAGAACATGTGGTGTTTACTTTTTCATTCCTAAGATATTTCACTTAGAATAATGGACTCCAGTCCTGTCTAAGTTATTGCAAAGAACAATATTTCCTTCCTTTTTAAGGCCAAGAACACTCCCTGGTACTGATCCTCTCATGAATTGATGGGCACTTAGGTTGATTCCATTATCTTTGCAACTGTGAGTTGTGCTGTGATAAACATCTGGGTACAGGTGTCTTTTTATAATGATAAAGTGATTTCTTTCTCTTCCAATAGTGGAATTGCTAGATCAAAATGTAGGCCTACTTTTAATTCTTTGAGGAATCTCCTTTCCACAAGGGTTGTAGTAATTGGCAGACCCACCAACACTGGTAAGTGTTCCTCTTTCTCTGCATCCATTTCTGCATCTGCTGTTTTTTATAACTTGTTAATAATGGTCAT